TTTGCCATAGGGCATGTGTGCTTGCTGGAGAGAGACAGAGAGAGGGAAAGTAAGAAATCACCTCCCCCCCGTCTCCCATGGGGATGGCCATGCAGTACTCCCTTCTCCTCCTCTTGGGATTTGGGGCACATATGCACACACACCCAGATTATTTTTCAAGCTGCCAGGTCTGGGACTCGAACCACATGGTAGTCGGCAATGTGGGATCCAGTTACCTTAACTTCCATGCCACCTAACTGGCCCTTTTGTAATAATTGTAATGTCCCTTATTAACTTTGTTTTCTAGTCAATGAAATAGAACTTAGAAAAAAATAACTCTGGAGGCAAAGTTGGCGAGAGGGCGTCTCAAGCAAACAGCTCTGAATACGGCTAACTACAGGGCGTGCTCAGGACAGCGGTGCAGAGGAGCAGGCGGGGAAGGGAGGGGAGGGGACATGCTGGCGTGGGATGCATAGTGCCTGGGCTGGTGCTCATCGTCCCCGGAGAAGGGCCCTTTGGCTTGTGCCGGCTCTCACAGGTCAGGCGGACGTGACAGAATGCGTCCTCCATGGAGACCCCTGCAGTCATCCCGCCCTTCTGACACCCCGAGATCCCACCTGCCTGGGTTTGGGAGCGTTATCTCCTGAAGTCTGTCTGGCCTCTTTTCTTTCAGGCCAGCAAGGCAGACGCTGTGACTCTGGATGGCGGCTGGGTGTATGAAGCAGGGCTGAACCCCTACAAGCTGCGGCCTGTCGCGGCGGAAGTCTATGGAAGCACAGCGGGTGAGCTCTCTGGGGACTCCACATCTAGGTGGCCTTAGCTGTGGCCAAGATGAGCATGTGGATGGGGTCTTGGCCAGCGTGGCACTGCAGGGCATGCAGTTGCCGGGCTCTTTGACACTGACCCCTGGGAGAAGGACCTGGGCACTCCCTGGGGACCAGAGCTGCGTGGGCATCGGGTGCAGCTGTAGCACGTGGGGGCCTCCTCCCACCAGGGGCTTCATCAGGGAGGCGCTTTCCCCCTCTGGTCCAGGGAAGAGCTCTTGTTTTCTGTCTCCTCAGAGCCTCGCAACTACTACTACGCCGTGGCCATAGTGAGAAAGGACAGCGACTTCCAGCTGAACCAGCTGCAGGGCCTGAGGTCCTGCCACACTGGCCTCAACAGGACTGCCGGGTGGAGTGTGCCCATAGGGATCCTCCGTCCATACCTGAACTGGACGGGACCGCCCACGCCCCTGGAGGAAGGTAAGATGGTGGGGCGTGGAGAGTGGCCGCAGGCAGGGGTTCCTAGTTGCATGCACAGGCTGCTTTGGGATCATGTCCACGGACATGTGGGATGAACGCGAGGTGGGGGTGGGCTGGCCAGCCTGACACGTGTGACCTTACCCAGCAGTCCTTGGGAGGGGCGGCTGAGCCTGCCCTCAGCAAAGGTGCATCTCTGAGCTCCCAGCCCCATGGCAGAGGCTGCCCTGCAGGCGCGAGGCGGGGTGGAGGAAGGGGCTCCGCCACCCACGGGAGCACGTGCGGCAGGTGTCCTGGCCCTGGTCCTGGCCAGTGCCGGCTCACACTCTGCGGTCCACTTCTGTGTGTGCACAGCTGTGTCCAAGTTCTTCTCAGCCAGCTGCATCCCGGGTGTGGACGGGAGCCGTTTCCCCAACCTGTGCAGCCTGTGCACGGGCCCAGGGGCCAGCAAGTGCGCCGCCTCCTCCCTGGAGCCCTACTTTGGCTACTCCGGGGCCGTCAAGTGAGTGAGACCTCCTGCCCTCCCCAGGGGCCTGGGTTGCGCATGGCTCAGGCCAGGAGCCCCTCCCTCTGCCCGCCAGAGCTCAGCCTGCCGCAGGGGTGGAGAGGTGGCCGCCACCTGCTGCCTCGAGACGGAGAACCTGAGTCTGAGGAGGGCCGCCTTGTCCAGTGCACCTTTCCCCAGCCCAGGCCCAGTGCCCCCCTCTTCACCAGCCACGGCGGCCGGGGCCCTTTCTGCCACCCCGAGGACGCTGAATCTGACCGTGCCCCTCTGCTGGTGGGGCTCCTCGGGCTAACTCCTGTCCCTCCCCAACCACAGCGGGTGTCTCCTTGTGAGACGCCCAGCCCAAGCTCCCGGTTGGGAGGCCATGCTGCCCCAGAAGCAGGGGACACTGAGCTTTGCCTGTTGTCCCCTCTGCCCTCTCTGTTCCCATGCCAAGGCTGGGCTCCCTTTCGCTCATGCCACCTCCTGGGCTCTGGCATTTTTGCAGAGGGAGGCCTTCCTGCCTCCCCACCGGCCAGGGCACGTTTGCACATTTGGTTGAGAGAGAGAGAATGTGACCGGGGTGCCAAGCCTTTACCTTCTGGCGGAGAGACTTCAAAACTCTCTGGTACATAGACATTTTTTTGCCCTCCAGTCCTCCTGGCAGAAGGTGGGGCCTCTTATCAGCACCTGCTTCATCCTCCGAATCCACCTGGAGGGCCCCCGCCACCTTCCTGCTAGGAAAGCTCAGAGCCCTGGCCTCTGGGAGCAGATGCCCGTGGAGTGGAGCCAGGGCGGCTGTTCCACGGGGGGCACGAGGAAGGGGCCGGGTGGGGCGCCTGTGCTCACCTCAGGCTCCTTCTCACCTCCCAGGTGTCTGAGAGACGGGGCTGGACATGTCGCTTTTGCCAGGGCGAGCACCGTGTTCGGTAAGAGGAGGCGGGGCCTGGCATTGCCCCAATGTCCTAATTTCATTGACGTCTGACTGCAGGCTAGCTGGACCCTCGACCCCGACCCCGGCCCCGGCACTGTTACCAGCAGGGCGCGGTTCTTACTTTATGCCTTCCCCCGCCCCCATGTAGAGTTTGCATGCTTGCCCGAGGGAGAGACAGAGAGAGGGAAAGTGAGAAATCAGCCCCTGGGGGATGGTCACGCTATAGTCCCTTCTCCTGGGATTTTGGGCTCGTGCCTGGTGTGATTTTTCCAGCTGCCAGGTCTGGGACTCGAGCACCGCAGTCAGCTGTGTGCAGTCCAGCCACCCTAACCCCCACACCTGCTGGACCCATGCTTTTCCTATGTTTATTAATATTAAGGTGACCTTGTGGTTCCTTCTTGCCTCCATCACGGTGGTGGATTATGCGCACATTTGTCCCCCAGAGGTCCCTGTGCTGTAAGCGTGGTCCCCAGGGGAGTGGTGTTTGAACCCTGGCACAACGCGGTGCTCACGAGCAGGCTCCCACTGCCCCATGGAGGCAGTGAGCGCTCGCCCCGGGACGGCTGTTGCTCGGATGGGGGCCTAGGGGTCTCTGCACATGCCCGCTGATCTTCTAAATCTGCCGCGTGGTGACTTTCCGGCCCCCAGGGCTGTGAGCCAAATACATCTCGAATTTTTACAAACCACTCTGTCTCAGGGACCTCAGTTTAGCCACACTAACGGGCTATCACCTTAGCGTTTCTGTTTTTTTAGAGCGAGATGTTTTCCTATAGGGTGTGCGCGCTTGCCAGAGAGACAGAAAGTGAGAAGTCACCCCCCGGGGGTATGGCCACACCGCAGTCCCTTCTCCTCCATTTTCCTCTGGTCACTTAGGACTCACATGCACACTTACCCAGTGTGAGCTTCACGCCACGAGGTCCATGACTCAAATCGTGGTGGCCATGTGGGAGCCCAGCATCTTACCACCGTACCACCTGCTGGCCCCAGTTCACCGCCTCCACTGGCCCAAGTCCCACGGGGAGAACGAGGGCGATGACTCACGGTTATCACTCAGAGTCGGCTCACCTGGGCTCGCGGTCACCCCTCCCTCCCAGAGGACCTGCCAGACAAGGCGGAAAGGGACCAGTATGAGCTGCTGTGCCCAGACAACACCCGCAAGTCGGTGGACAGGTTCAAGGAGTGCCACCTGGCCCGAGTGCCTTCCCACGCCGTCATGGCCCGCAGTGTGGACGGCAGGGAGGACGCCATCTGGGAGCTTCTCCGCCGGTCCCAGGTAGCCCCTCCTCGGCCGGTCTTCTTGGATCTGGGGTGGGAGGAAGGGGCCTTACCCCCTCTGAGGCCTCACTGCAGAGGGTCGGCTCATTCCCCGGCTGCTGGCCTGGGCGGCCCTCTGGACAGCGAGTGAGGAGACGTGGGCTGGTGTCATTCTCTGCCCCCAGGTGCTTGGGCCTGGCAGGAGGGACTGCCGGCTGGGTCTCATCTGGGACGGCTCAGGTCGCTCTGCAGGGAGGTGCCAGCCAAGGCGCGCAGTCGGACCCCCTGGTGCTCTGCATCTGCCTCACCACCGCCTTCTGTTTCCCTGCCTGGCACCAACGCCTCATTCCTTTTCCCTCATTAGGAGAAGTTTGGAAAGGAAGTGTCTTCGGAGTTCCAGATCTTCAACTCCCCTCGCGGGTCGAAGGACTTGCTGTTCAAGGACTCCACCCTCAGGCTTCTGAGGGTCCCCCCAAGGGTGGACACTGGCCTGTACCTCGGCTATGCCTACTACACTGCGCTCCGGAACTTGAGGGAAAGTGCGTGAGCTCCAGGCGGGTCCGCAGGGCACCGGTGTCGGGGGAGGCTGCAGGGCCCTCGGGTGCTCCGGCTCCAGCCACTGCAGGGCCTGTGTCACAGCAGCTCCGATGCAGGCGTGAGCGTCTCTGTTGACTAGGTCAGGGCCACTGTGAGGGGTCTCTGAAAGCGTGCCCCGGCCTCAGTTCATGTTTCCAGGGCTCCCGGGGCAGCCAGGGCTCCCGGCCCTGACTGAAAAATGCATGTATGCCTGTTACTGAGAAATGGAAACAAACCCAGAGGGCCATGGCGCCCTGGGGTGCATGCAGGAGCTCCGTGGCCACCCCTGCGCAGGGCTGGGGCACCAAGGGGGAGCCCCCAGCCTGGCTGGGTGGGAGTCTGGGCCACCCTCACCCTGACTGCTCTGTAGTTATAAAGGTGGCCCCCTTGCAGGCCTGGGGAGGGGTGGTCGCGGCTGTCCCCTGGGCCATCTCTGGGGCTGCCCTGGTCTATCACAGAGCTTTTGTCTGGAGAGACTAGACACTGGCAGGCTTTACAGGGTGGGGTGGGGACGAAAGGTCTCCAAAGCAGGGAGGCCGGCCTGAAGGCGGAGGCAGGGTCTCCACCGGTCTCTACCAGCAAGCTGCTCCAGGAGCAGGGGTGTGAACAGGGGCCCAGGCTCCCGGAGGCCGAGGGTCCCCGTCCCACGCTGTGTCCCTGCGCAGGTGAGGCAGAGGTGGCGGCGCGGCGCGCTCAGGTCGTGTGGTGCGCGGTGGGCGCCGAGGAGCTGCGGAAGTGCCAGCAGTGGAGCAGCGTGAGCGGCCGCCGCGTGACCCGCACCTCGGC